ATATTTTTTTGCCTTGAGGTCTATTTCATCCCTGATTAATATAGCCACTCTCTGTTATGGTTACTATATGTATGCATTTTTGTCCCATCTATTTACCCTCACCCATTTGTATCTCTGAATTTTAAGTATTTCTTTTGTAGATAGATGATAAGGTCTTGGTGGTTTTTTTTAATTTATTCTACCTCTGATTTTTGAGTGCAGTTTTCAGCTTATTCACATTTGATGTAATGATTAATATAATTGGACTTATATCTGCCATTTTGCTATGTGTTTTCTATGTATCTCATTTATTTTTTGTTCCTCTATTCCCTATTACTGTCTTTATACTAAATGAAAACTTTTTGGATACCATTTTAATTCCCCTGTTGATTATTTAACTGTATTCTTTGAGGGTTTTTTTTTTGTTTGTTACTCTAGGGATTAAAATATTCATCTTTAACTTTAAAAATTCACTTAAAGTTAGCACTGTCTTAATTTTAGTAAAATACATATAAATATATTAAAATATCACTAAAGCTCCATTTCATCTCTCCCCATTCATTTGTGTTATCCTCATATATAAAAAGCTCCATCTCTATTATAAAACTAATAATAATATGTTAGAATTATGATGTTAAGGAATCTCCTGACTTTAAAGAAATTAAGAAAGAGAAAAATTATACATATACACACATAGTCTTTTTATTTACTCAAATATTTCTGATGACATCCATTTTTCCTGTGCATCTGAGTTAGTATCTTGTGTAATTTCCTTCAGCTTAAAGGGTTTACTTTGTGTGTTTTTTTTCCTGTAAGTCGGGTCTGCAGTGAATTCTATTTTATCTAGGAATGTCTTTGTTTTGATTTTTTTAAAAGGATAATTTCATGCCCTAGCTGGTTTGGCTCAGTGGATAGAATGTTGGCCTGTAGATTGAAGGGTCCTAAGTTCGATTCCAGAAAAGGGCACGTGCCTGGGTTGCGAGCTCCATGCCCAGGAAGGGGAGTGCAGGAGGGAGCCAATCAATGATTCTCATTATTGGTGTTTCTATCTCTCTTTCCCTCTTTCTTCCTCTCTGAAATCAATAAAAATATAAAAAATAAATAAGTAAATAAATAAATAAATAAATAAATAAAAATTAGAAAAAGTAAAATATAAAGTCAAAGTCCCAGGTAATCTCTTGCTAAAAACTACTTATTCTTTATAATTTGGATCGTCTTGTATGAAGAAAAGAAGAAAAATATATATGAGTGTTTGTATAATATATGTATATTTGAATATATATATATATATACACACACACACACACACACACACAGATATAAATACCCTATCATGATAAAGATTAATTACCCAAATAATAGTAACCATAAAAAAGAGAATTAAAAACTGGGACTTTTTTTTATACTCTATGACCCATTTTTTTTTTTCTGAATGTGGAAGCTCTGACTGGCAGCTGCCATTCTGATATTTAAAATTTTTTTGGCAACAAAAACTCAATTTTGTTGGCCTTAAAATTCTCATTTCTTGACAGGTGCCCATCAAAACTACGTACTTTCTCCCCAAATTTCCTACAATATTTCTAACTGTCAGGACAGTTCTGCTTAGTCTAGCTATCTTATAAACTTCATTTTGATAACCCATCTCATTAAAAAGTACTACAGAAGCCTCATGTTTATTTATCATTTGAATGCTCATGAAGCTATTATTCAAATCTCTGAATTCACTCACTCGTGTATTTCATAACAGGCATATATCCATGGACTTTTTTACATTCTGATAATGTCTCTATTTGTTCAGCCATCTATATTTAATGAAAAGCTATCACTTTTTCCCCCAGCAAATTTCAAACACCGGTGGAGCTATCTAATACAAAAACATGAACTTTTGGTGTGACCTTGGATAATCTTGCTCTATCTCCTGATTATATAAATCTATGGAACAGGGGACATTATAATGTAGATCACTTTTCAAAAATATCATCATAATTGGAAACTGTGAAGTAGTTAAAATTTATCAGCCTAAGTTTTACTGTTTTGAAGATGACAATCATGGATCATGTTCATTAACTCATTTAAGCCATTAAAGTGTGTACCACAGATAGCCTGGTTGACCTGAAGAGGGAGATTATACCCTTTCACTGTCTTTGCCTGTCACTCCTGCCCTCGCCTTCCCCAGATTTCCACAGTTGAGGCAGAGAAGCTCTTAAGCAACTTCAGGCACTGTCCCAACTTGTGGGTTTAGTTTGACTCTCTCTCCTTTTGAGCTGTCTTGAGAGGTACATCTACCTTCTGGGCTAACCACAGAATTCCTGCACTTTTACCCGAATCAGTCTTACTGAGTCTGACCGTCTCTGCAGCCAAAGCTAACTATTGAACACCCTTATTGTTCCTGATTTGTGCTTTATGGAACAGCTTGGATGGGGTATCCTTGTTCCTTCTTTTTTCATCCCCCGCATTGTCCTTGTTCTAACAAGGGGATGCCTCCACCTACATTTCCAGTTCTGAGACCACTTCTTTCTCCCATGCATGTTCTTGGTGTGTCCCAGTTGATCCAAATGGGCATCTACCTTGCCCATGTTCCAAAGTCCTGTTTTGGTAATCTGTGCAGTTCCCTTTCAAGCCTGAGGCTCCTATTCTCCTTGCCAGTTATCCTATTTCAGGACCAAAGCTCAACCCCTCAAGGCTGCCCCACAGTTGGGCTCTCTCCTCTTGAGAGATGTCTCAGGTGTTCAAAACTACCTGAAGTCTGGGCTTCAGCTTTCCACCAGTCTCTACTCCTGTGTTCTACCCAACTGTTGAATAGATCCTCTGATTCTTTGTTGTCCTTTGGTCCCTACAGGAACCTGAGACTTCTGTTCCCTTTAGCTTTTGGTCTATGGGCATCCAGGCCTGCTTCACACACCCTGCTAGTGGATGGCAGCTGAACAATAAGTTCTCTGTCAAGTAGGTTTAGAAAAAGCCTATTTAAATGGTTATTCTGTTTTCTGTTTTGGTAGGACTCATCAAACCTTTAATATGCTTGCATTCACAAAGGTGAAAGTAACAGGTTTTCTGAATATATTTGTTGAAGGAACATTAGTTTCCCAAGTTTCTTAAAGGCCTAGTGTTATATAGAACATATTTTTGAACATGCTTTAAAAAATAATATTAGATGAGAAAGTCTCCATGGTCTGTTTCAGTTTTACAGATTCTGATTAAATGAATAACAAGAAATGTTTTTGGAGAAGGTGAGTGAAGTAGCAAAATCTGTTAGTGTTTGGGCAACTCTGTCCAAAGAGTAAGAAAGCCCTGCATTGCCGAAACCGGTTTGGCTCAGTGGATAGAGCGTCGGCCTGCGGACTGAAAGGTCCCAGGTTCGATTCCGGTCAAGGGCATGTACCTGGGTTGCGGGCACATCCCCAGTAGGAGATGTGCAGGAGGCAGCTGATCGATGTTTCTCTCTCATCGATGTTTCTAACTCTCTATCTCTCGCCCTTCCTCTCTGTAAAAAATCAATAAAATATATTAAAAAAAAAACAAAAAACAAAAAACATTGATTAAAAAAAAAAAAAAAGAAAAAAAGAAAGCCCTGCATTTTGGTTACCAGGGAGTTGTTTTCTGTAATGAAGCAAGGAGGAAGCAGAAGACTAACATTCCTTTATCTGTCCAGTCATTGTGAGAACATTTATTGAGAACTACAATGTGCCAGGCATCGGTCTAGACCAGTGATGGTGAACCTTTTGAGCTCAGCATGTCAGCATTTTGAAAAACCCTAACTTAACTCTGGTGCCGTGTCACATATAGAAATTTTTTGATATTTGCAACCATAGTAAAACAAAGATTTATATTTTTGATATTTATTTTATATATTTAAATGCCATTTAACAAAGAAAAATCAACCCAAAAAATGAGTTCACGTGTCACCTCTGACACGTATGTCATAGGTTAGCCATCACTGGTCTAGAGGCTGGAATTTTAATGATGGAAAAGATCAATACCCTCCCAGCCCTCAATAATCAGAAAATTAGAAAAATCAGCCAGAGTAAAATATCCTGCCAGCCACCTAATATCTTTGCTCTGAGCCTATGCATCAAGTCTCAGCTTAAAATTTCCATTTTTAAAGTTTAAGTACATCTCTTTTTATGATAAACTGGATTCAGGTTTGTCATTCTTCTATCATTAAAGAAATTGGTGGAATAGCTAAGCAAATATGCATAGGCACGGGCAGAAGATATACATACACAGAAGCGTATAGAAACCATATACGTACATAGATACCACTGAGGCAACCTTTATCTGACTGATGCTAAAAATAAAATGTTGCTATTGGTGTATATATGAGTTTCTTCAGAGCATTGTTCAGAACACCTGCATTAAAACAACCAGGGGGTGCTTGTGAAAACGCAAGTGCCTGGGCTCCACTCCACATACTCTGATTTAGAGGGTCTCAGGAATATGCATATTAAATTAGGACCACATAACATACTTATGCTCACTTACATTTAAAAACTTCTGATCATCGAGACTCTGGCGTGGGGACTGAGAGCTGGAGCTTGTTGCCAAGTGGGCCTAGGTTGTCAGAGGGAGGCACAGTGGCTGGGGTGACTGGCAGGACAGAAGGCAGGCACTCGTTCACCTACCTAGTGGGATAATGTAGAGAATAATGACATAAGTAGTGTCCAAACGTGTTAATTCCCTCTCTTCTGTCATGCCTCAAAACAAACAAACAAACAATAACAACAACAAAAAAACATACACACACACAACCGGCGGCTTAGCACACCTGGGGGCTGTTTCCTCCTCAGTGTAGTACATTTTATTTTATTTTCATGTAAACTCATTAGTGAAGAGATCCCTGTATTCTTTCTAGAAAGACTGGAGATCCCTCTTAGTCTAATTTAAAACTTGATTTCATTGTTTAGTTTTAAATGAGGTTTCAGTATTGATAAAAATTTAAATACCACAGTAGGGAGCATCGTGGGATTTTCTCACGTTACACAAAAACTTAAGAGCCTACCAGTTTCAGATCAAAAGCCTAAAAGCCTCAGACACCCCATTTCCTGTTTGTAACTGAACAGAGTACACACCAAAGATGTTAAGAAACAAATGAGAGAAAAAAACTGAGGTAGAGAAAAAGACACATTTCACTGCTACACTTCTTTGACATAACAAAGCAACGTTACTTGGAAACAAAGGTCTGTGGGAGCATTTTTAATCCATGCGTTTACCTTATGGCTGCATAAGGATTTCTCTGAAAAAAGAAGCATGTCAGGTAAGTGGCATTTTTAATTATTTTGTTCCATTCCTATGCCTAAAATTTCACTTAATAATTTCTGAGTCGCCAGCAAGTACACTTAGGATTTGGAAAATAAATTAGTTTACACATTCTTTTCTTTTTTTAAAAAAAAATATATTTTTATTGATTTCAGAGAAGAAGGGAGAGGGAGAGAGAGATAGAAACATCAATGCTGAGAGAGAATCATTGATCAGCTGCCTCCTACATGCCCCCCTAATAGGGATAGAGCTGGCAACCCAGGCATGTGCCCTTGACTGGAATAGAGCCCGGGACCCTTCAGTCCAAAGGCTGATGCTCTATCCACTGAGCCAAACCGGCTAGGGCAAGTTATTTCACATTATTTCTTAAATGCGAAATAACCTTTAGTATAATTAGAACATATTTTTAAATCTACTAATGAATATAAGTCACTATTACTCTTAAAAAAATTTGGAAGTGTTTTATAATATAAAGCTAGTTGTAGCTGGGTTTTAAAAAATAATTATGACACTTAAAGGACTCATTATTTTAAAAGAAACTTTCATTGACCACTACACTTTCTTCTTCAATTTAGTTCAGTTATAAAGTAGGTTAGAAGTAACCACATTCTAATTCTTTGTAGCTTAGAATCTATATTAACTCCCCAGAAATCAATCCAATTGTTAACATTAAGAGAGATGATAATTTTGTAAAGGCCAGTGTAAATTCCATCACTTGTGGAATGAAGTTGAATTCACATTGATTAGCTGTGTCTCTTCCATGTGGGTGGTTCATCCCTCTTTTATTATTTTATTTGCTTTCTATTTCTTTAGTAAAAAATCCCTCATGATATGAGAAAATATGCATGTTTATTAAGGGTGAGAACTGTGAATATATATATATATATATATATATATATATATATATATATATATATTAAGGAAAGAAATTTACGTAGTTCCCATTTCCTTAAAAAAGAACCTGAAGGTAGTGCATTGTATTTCCTTCCAATTTTTATTTCTTTACATTCTACATGGTTTGCTTTTCATAACTGAAGTAATAATGTACATAAAATCATAATCCAGCTCTTTTCACAAACATTATAACATAATTATTTCCCTTTTTATAATAATTTCTGCTTGATTATTTTACATGAATGCACAAAATAACATCTATTAGGTTAATTATAGTTTACTTAGTTACTTGCTTATTATTGGACATTTATGTTGTATCCATTTTTTATATTTTTTAAATGACAGAAAGATGAGCATCTTTATAGCTTTTTCTATATTTAGGATTATCTTTTTGGGCAATATTTCTAGAACCGGGATTACTGAGTAAGAGGTTGTGAACATTTTATGTCCCATTTTTACCAGATTGCTTTTCCAAGAGCGATGCCAAGTCACTCTTCTAGCAGTGCTTCCCCTTAATAGGCTAATCTAATGAAAAACTCTTTACTAATTAAAAGCACAACATGTAACCCATTGTTTAATATACATTACTTTGATTATAATGAGGTTGAACATTTTGCATGGGATTTTAAATTGTTTATAACTCCAGCATTTGTAAATTGTCTGATCACATCTTTTGCTTAATTTTTGTGCGTATAATACCTTTAATGTTAATTTGTATGAGCTATTTATAACAATATCATATCTGATAATTTCTGTGAATTTGTTTCCAGTGTTTTGTTTGTTGGATTTTAAAATCAATTGATTGGATTAGGTACACAAGGGTGTGTAAACTGACATACAGTTTCCATGCCTTTCATCTTCTGCAGGGTTCACAGATGATCAAAGAACAAAAACAATTGTCCTGGTTTTGCTAGTGTCCTGCAAGAAATGAATGCAGCAATTCTATAAACAGTTGCCATGAGCTAATGGTGATAGGGAGTTGGGGGAGGCCAAAGTCAGTGAATATGACATTCAGCTATTTCCAGTATTAACTAATGGTAATTTTATAAGGGATAGGGTACAATTTCCTCCATAGCACTTTGAAATTTAGATTTTTCCTTTGGTGTAAGGCAGGAGCTCCTCCATTAAGACCTACAATTTCACAGAAGAGACAAAAAAATAAACTATTCATCATAAAAGCTCATAGATCTTAAAACAAACAAAAAGAAAACCTAATGTAAAATAAGATGACAATCAGATGATATTTTTTACATTGAGATAGGTAAAGTAAAAAAAGAAAATGTTTGAACACAACAAAAAAATGAAATTTCTAGCTAATTAAAACATGTATGAAAATAAAAACCCAAATCTTCCCTTTATCTCCTACCTACATGCCTTGTAGTCACTGCATCAATATATGTGCTGGTATAATAATTTTTACTGTGTCTCTGCATTCAAACAAAATCAATATTAGCTGAGTCAACCCCTTTGGGCTATCATTAATATAGTTCAAACAATGATTCACAATGTAGTTACATTGCTGTTTTCTATAAAAGAATTTTCATGGTATTTGTTCAATTTTCTTTTCCCATAAGCCTCAGTTATCTTTTTGAAAACAATGAAAGCCTTTCTTTTAGAAACTAGGTAGGTAGGAATGACTTATGACTCATCTTTTAAATTCAGATCTTCTTTAAAATAAAAGTAAGTTAAACAACATGTTTCATTATTTAATTTAGGTAGTTTGGCAATGATGTTAAGGAAAATCAATCCAAGAAAAATTGTCACTTAGAGGTCACAGCTGAGAAATAAAATGTCCACAAATTGCTAGTTAATAATAAATATTATCAATCAGTTTCCAGGCATTTTTAATTTCATTTAATTTTCTCAGCCTCCTAAATTAAAAAGAAAAGAGAAAAAATTAACAAACCTACTTAAGACAGTAAAGAAATATAGTAGTTTCATTTTGCTGAATGAAAGTTTCCACACACCCATGCCAACCTCAGAGGGTCTTACCAAGGTGCTTCTCCAATAGGAAACGATAAGTACATAAGATGGAGAGCTAAATACATGAAGAGAGATTCATCTACAGCAGGAACTTAGGCATTACTGCATTCCCAATAGGATTTCTAAAGTTTATCAATCCCAATTAAGTTTCATTATAAAAGTGACTATTGTCTTAAAATCTGCCATCCACCTCACTCTCATATGTATGCTTTCCTCGATTCTATTTAGTAAGAATTGCTTAAGAGCACCCATGATGTACTAAAAGGAGGGAACCTGGATGACACAGAGATGGGGATCTGAACTCCTGTTTTTATCAGTGACTTAGGGAGTGAGGGTCAGTGATTTGCAGAAAGTCACACAACTAGTGATTGCGCTCGTTCACTTTCTCCAGGCTGTTTGAAACAGACATTCCAAATGAGCTATATGAATATTGGCCTCTCTTCTGCGGCCTCTCTCAGACATACACCATTCGCTTCTCAAATAGTCCTTTGTTTATAATATCATTTAAGGTAGACAGCTTTTAAAATTTGCATTGAAGACATTATCTCATTCACCTGAAAGCCTAGGGCTGGATTTGAGAATCCCTCCCAGTGCTACTGTCTATCACTCTCATGCCTCTTAGTGACGGGGTAATGGGGATGGACAATGGTGGGGGGGGCCTCTGTGGATGGTGACAACGTGCTACATTCAAAGAGTCATGAAGGTGCCGAGTGCAGCACCAAACCATCTGCACAGTAAGAAAAACTCATGGGTAGAATCTATGGGAATTGTTAAATCAGAACTTTTTCTTTGATCTTTCTGGGGTGCTTAAATAAATATAGACATTCATGGAATGCCAGGAAGTGATAGTCACTGCTCTGACAGAGTTTATAAACCAAGGAGAGAAACCATCAAGAGAAGCCATAACCTAAATACTAGAAGCTCATACACTTATCTCAGTATAGAACCCCTGAAGGAGAAACAATTAAGGCATTATATTTATTGCTTTTCTGTTGGTACTTGTTTAAGTAAAGGCTTCTGTATGAATCAAACCTGCAAAGCAGAAGGCATTATATTTGCTTAGCTGAGCTTCCTTCCAGAGCACACGTAATTGAGAATTTTAAATATAGTGCCTGCCAAGTACTATTGGCTTAAGGGAATCAGAGGTCTTATAATTAAACCTCTCTCTCTTAGCCTCTGGCTGTTGAAAGCTAGATAGAAACTTAAATCATGGTTTTCCTAGTTGTCATTGCCTTTGGCTTTTTAACAGTGTAAATAGCTCAACTCAAATTATATGGGAGTTCTTTTTAGATTGTTAAAAGCTATACAAATGAAAGTAATTATAGTTAATGAATATGATACTAAAGATTGCATTTGTTGGGCAAGAATTTTTGAGCACTTTGTGCATTCAATATTATGAGATGGACTGTCTCTACTGAATAGATACCCACATGTATTGAAAATATTCATACTCTATATGGAAAATAACTGGGTAAGGGAGGGATGAAGTGGTGTGTGTGTGTGTGTGTGTGTGTGTGTGTGTGTGTGTGTGTGTGAACATTTATACAAATCTTGCCATTTAAGTTGAAAATCTTCACCATTTAGCTACTCAAAATCTTCTCATCTGCATGTTTTTGTTTTGTTTTTCAAAATAGGGGTATTTATTGTTGGCAATCAAAGATTATGAAACACATTAAGAATGTCATGAAATGCAAAGCTTCTAAATGAAAATCTTCCTATGTAAAACTCAAATTACATTACAAAAGGGAAAAAAATCTTGGAAAATAAGAGGTCATTAGGAATATAGACTCCTAACATCAAAGGAAAACTGGAGACCATGCTAACCATATTCTGAACGTATAAGAAAGATATTTTTTTTCTGTTTTCATAGTTGGAGGGTGTTCATTTAACAAGTCAAAATAAACATAGTATGTACTTAAGGTAAAAGTTGAAAAGAAGAGAATGAAAGCACACTTCATTTTATGCTTCTTAAAACTATTAGGTAGTCTGTGAGATTATTTCTGCTCACCCTACCTCTTATGTTATTAACATCCTAATTTTATGCAAGCATATATAGGGTGGGGCAAAAGCAGGTTTACAGTTGTTCATATGGAAAATAATATAATGATTAATAAACAGTAA